GACTCTAAATGAACAAAATAAAAATGTCAATAAGACCCAATTATATTGTATGTCGATATCGTTTCAAAATATACATGAAAAAGAATCATTGGACACCAAAACAATATAATGCGAAAAAAGGCTCCGCAAAAAGTGGATGCATGTGTCAAAATCACCTAGAATAAGACAATGATTACCATTTTCACACTTTACTCACACATGAACACTCGAACGTGGCAGAATCATTTCCACAACTTACAACAATTGATGATGTTGTGCATGAAGCATTCCAAAACGTGTGTAGAGCACTTTGTTTGTTTGCAGAGAGAAGCACTGCGGTGCGTATATGGAGAGTGTGGCGGTATCCCCTATGCCCCACAAAATCAGATAATTATTTGTCTCTTGGCTGCTGTATAATGAAATATCTCATCCAAACAGTTTATTCTATGCATATTGCCCAAAGATGTTGGACGACTATGCCTATATGTTTAAAAACATGGAAATCCGGAATCTATTATACGAGTATTGGCCATGCTTGGCATAGAACGCAGTTTAAAAGGGAGGGGACTAGTCTCTAGCGCCCCAGGTGCAGAGACTGGGAGTTGGCACTTCAGCTTAACAATGAGCGATAGTGGCATAATTTGGGGCACGTAAGCTGCCGCACATAAGCTTAATTACAATGTTGAGCAGATGAAAGACACGTAGGAGACAAGGTGTGTATGCCACCACCCATTACAACATGACAAGGGGCCTCGCTGCACTACTCTAGACTCTCGAAGTTTTGAGAGTGGGTCTTTGCTGCACTTACTCTCGATCGGGAAATTCTCGAAACCCGATCGAGAGTTGTCAGCCGCCGCACTACAACGCCACTCTCGAAATGTCGAAAGTCTCCCGCCTGCAAAAACCGAATTTGCAAGTGTCCTCGGGAGTTGCCCGCCGACAGGCTCGTTTTTCGAGAGTGGATCTCCTGTCCCGACGGCCAGACTTTGTCCCGTAGCGCAGTGGTGCAGCTCTTTTGTCGAGTCAAACACCAGACTTTGTCTGGTAGCGCAGTGGTGCAGCTCTTCTGTCGAGTCGGACGACGCCCAAGGTTTTGAGAATGCATCTGGTGTCACATGTTTTAGAGTAAGGGCCTCGCAACACTACTCTAGACTCTCGAATTTTCGAGAGTGGGTTATCACTGCACTTCCTCTCGATCGGGAAACTCTCGAAACCCGATCGAGAGCTGTCAGAAGCCACAACATAAAGCAACTCTCGAAACGTTGAGAGTCCCCGACTTGCAAAAACTGAATTTTCAAGTATCCTCGGGAGTTGCCCACCGACAGGCTCGTTTTTCGAGAGTGGACCTCCTGTCCCGGCGGCCGCACTTTGTCCCGTAGCGCAGTGGTGCAGCTCTTCTGTAGAGTAGGACGACGCCCAGGGCTTAGAGAGTTCACCTAGTGTGATAGGTTATAGAGTAAGTGCAACGAAGGTGGGTATTTCGAGAGTCTCGCCTTTCTGACAATGCTAGCCGAACTCTCGAAATATGCAGCGAGGCCCGAAGTGCAGCCAAGGCGGGTATTTCAAGAGTCTCGCCGCTCTGATTGACTTACCGTGAGGGCACGGGTGCGCAACCCGTAGTTCGTTTGTTTATGTGGTTCGGGAAGGGTAAGGTATTGATTATGCTGTATGTATGTTTTGTCATGTTCTCTATACACAACTCGAAGAG